ATGGCCAAATTGGAAATAAAAAAAAAACAAAAAAAAAAAAAAAAAAAAAAATGAAATTGGGGAGATTAGACTTTCTCCAACCTCATCAGAATTCTGCTCCCGGCGGACATCAGCATGCATTTTCACAAACGCTGCCTTCAAGTGCTAACCTTGACGCCGGGGCGCCTCGACGGCGGTTGCGCATTGGAAGCCCCTCGGGGCACGGCGCCCGCTCGCTTCAGCCAAATGAAGTCTGCTGAAAATGCCACAGCGGTTCATGTTCATCATCAACAAGCGCACACACTTTGACTGCAGTCGAGTCTTACCTTACCTTGTGGGTCGTCTTGCTACTTTTCGACGCCGCGATTCGTCAGGAGGTCGAGTCGACGCATTGGCGGTCGGCGCTGGTTAGCCCTGCGCGTCTTCACGCAACTCTGACGATGAGTCCGATTTGGATTTTCAGCAAAGTTGACCGAGTTTTCTTTCAGGCTTGATCCGACTGGCTCCTGTGTAAGCAAAACGTTTCCACATCTCACACTGTGCCTCATTTCTTTTTTCTGATCTTTGTACCTCAGTATTACTCGGACACTTGGTGATCTTTCAAAATGAATCGTAAAAAAAATAATAATAATCTGCTCATCTGAAAATGACATGACTGTCCTCAATTTCTGATCACCAATTTTTGTTTTTCAATAAAACATCCCATGTCCAAATCTGTCATGCGCAAGAGTGTCTGGAAATGGGAAACCGGACCGCCGTGTCCATTTGTCCCCGCCATCTGTCACCCGGTGAGTCCAGGGGGCCACCGTCCAACCCTTCAATATGTGCGGCAGGGTGGGAGAGTGAAGGAGGGGGTCGGGGGGCCAGGGGGGGGGGTGCCACTCAATACCCCGCCTGTATTTCGTTCAAGAATGAAAGCATTCAGAACCGCCGCTCGACCGTGATTGTCGCCGGCTCTCCGGGAACGTGTCGCGACCTCCGGAGTGCCCCCAGACAGACGGATGGACAACAAGGCAAGACCGCTCTCCTGATCCCGCGGGCCGAGGTCATTAACCGGGACTGTGATCCACAACAGCGGACATTAGTGTCGAGAGGGGGGGCCTGTGAAACCCAAACGCTGTAATGTCCGGGCGGCGAGACAGAATGGTCCGTTTCAGTTGTCATTAGAGAAAAGGCGGCAGGTCAGATGCTTTGGGGACGGCTGGAGAAACACTGTGTGTGTGTGTGTGTGTGTGTGTGTGTGTGTGTGTGTGTGTGTGTGTGTGTGTGTGCGTGACACGGGGCAGCAGACATATTGTCAGTGATTACAGAGTACTGGCCGTTCAATCATGTGATGAGCGTGTGCGCGCAGCCATATGTGTTTTTCCGTGGCTATTGACTTTGCGCCGCGTGCCGTATAAATGCCTCGCAATCCGACAGCGCGCTCGCGCCGGCTTTCGCCTCGGCGATTTTTCCGTGGCGAGTTCCATTGAAAAAAGTGGGGAAAACTTTCCAAACGGATTGAGGGGAATCTGGCACAATGATAAATATTTTGTTTGGTCCGTAAACAGACGAGGAGAAGGAGTTGCGAGCTCTCCTTTCCCACTTGCGAGGGCATCGCAGCAGCTTATCTGCTCCGTTTTCTCTCAAGTGGGCGAGTGTCTGAAACCACCGCCGCCTCTGACGCACTGTTTACCCAACGATCCGAATCGTCAAAAGCGCGACGTGATGACAATTAAAGGTTCTTGGGGAAGCGGTGCGGGGGGCTAATCCGGGGGGCCAGTTCAAGGCCGGAACGTTCCGGCATGATGAGGTTTAATTGGTATTGTGCCATTTCCATGATGAAACACCCGGCCGGGGCCCGCCACCTAAAAGCACTCATTACTCTCGGCAATTCATTAAAATAGCAGCGTGTGAGTCTAATGAAAAGAAAATGTGTGCATACTATAGCGGAGTTAATGTCCAGAGATCATATTTGCTCCGATTCAATTCACTGATTGTCCATCATTTTCATTGCCCTGGCAGCTCGGAGGCAGTCCGCTGTTTTATGATGATGTGTGCTTCGTCCCAATTCTCCCGATGGATAAAAAAAGGAACAATTTCCGCTCGGCATAATGCAACGCAATGCGGAATGACTTTGAAGAGGCGTGGGGGGGGGGGGCGTGGTAAGGTTTGTATGGGAGATTAGCTTTGTCTACGTCGACATTTTGGGGGTTTTCTTTTTCCCGGTTGTGTTGAGCAAACAAGGCAGCGGAGAACATTTCTTCAAGAAAGAACTGTTTCCGGTCAAAGTAAACATCAAACAAAGCGAACTATAAGTGGAGCGCTGAAAAACAACCACATATTGTAGCTTTGATTCAAAGTCATTCCACGCGCGTTTGCTTATTTCAGCGTGTTAGATATTTTTTTTTTCGTCGATAACCGTCAACGAAAGGTGCAGCCTTGGTGCCCCCCCCAACCCCCCCTCTAGAACCCCAATTACCGAGACGCTTCCTTATCTGGGCCCATTCTCAATCCTTTTAGCCCTGAATGAATTCACCCGCATTATTTGCCGGGTTTAATGGCCCGAGACCCCGAGGCTCCGTCTATAAATGAGCCGGTGGTCTGACAATCGCACTTCAAAAAGCAACACGGGTATCCTCATTTAGGTATCATATGTCAAATTTTTTTCTCCTGAGCAAACGGAATTGAAATTTAACATCAATGTTTTTTGACAGGTTGTAAAAAGAAATAAGCCGTCTTCACACGCGGGGGTAGTCACAGCAACGGTATCGCCGCGCACCATCAGACGCGCTTTGAGCTTCATAAAGCACGCGGGCAACATCCTTTGCATCCTGTCGGCATAAAGCGCTCTCAAGTCTATTCATTTGAATCACTTTCCTGCCATTCAAAACAAAGGCACGACATTCTAATAGACCTCGATATTTAATCCCACTTCTCAGAGTGAGATAATGGACAAAAGGTGCGCTTTGACGCGTCGGTTCGACGGTGTCAAGAAGAGAGATTGAACGCAAACGGGTGACGATGGAAAGCAAAAGCATGACGGTGCCACAGAAGAGCTCATTGATCCTGACATTTCCGATTGACGATCGACCGTCCAAGGGGAGTCAACCTATCGCTAGTGTCGCCGATTTACGACCGAAGTTGCGATTGACGGACGCGCTAACGATCCCGATGGCGAGGCGGGAAAAGAAAACAAAAAGCCAGAAAGTGTCGAGGCGAAAGTCTGGGCCTCGGCAGCAGACTGGGCGGATGAGATAATTGTTTCGTCAATCGTGAATCGGCGTCAACAAAGCGTTCGCGCACCTTTTGTCTTTTCTTTGCGGCCTTTCCGGCTGATTCCGCCATTTTTCCATCATCAAATAAAATGGAATGCATCTTTTATGATCCAATGGGGGAATCGATGCGTTAGCCGGGAACGACATATCGGTTCCGCTTCTCCTGGCAGATCGGCTTGACCGCAATCGTCGTCAATGGGTCCTCGGGCGCCGTACGAAGCTTCGCAATAGCGAGAAGAGCCATTCGGAAAAACGGCTCGGGTGGGATTTCTCTCCGAACCTTTTTTGAAAAAGTCCAATTCCAGCGGGAACTGCTGATAATAGCGAAGGAGCGAATGACTTGAACCTTTAACAAGCCAGCTCGGGTGGGATTTCCCTCCCCACTTTTTTGAAAAAGTCCAATTCCAGCAGGGAATTGCTGATAATAGCGAAGAAGAGAATGATTCGAACCTTTAACAGGCAGTGGCGGGGGGGCGGCTCAGGACCGTTGGCAGGTGATCCAGCAGGTAAGTTTATCCTTTTACTCCACATTAGTCGTTATCGATCGGGCGCGTCAGCGCTTCTGCCATCAGCGCCCGAAGAAGGAGGGATGCGAGGCAGAAAGGGGCCGTTTGTTAGATTGGAGAGCGGAGACACTTCGGAATTGGGAAGCCCGTGTCGCACCAAATTGGGGCTGATGGACCAAAGGTGACACCGGGACCGAGACACTTAACGGGGCACTAATGCCTGGACCAGATTACAAGTCAAAGCGAGAACACGGGCTGTCCAAATCGCCTCCGCGTTAGCAAGAATCGGTCTCACGTTAGCATCGGTCGACATCTCAGGACTTCGTACGCCGGGATCACGGCCGTGAAATCTTTCACGATCGCCGCAGAAAAAGGGAAATGACGAGGAGAGACATTGGCGACGTTTCAAGCGTCATTTTCTCGGAAATCTCCGTCGCCGAATGAGTCGTCGCGTTTCTCGCCGCGCCCCCGCGCGAACATATGCGAAACGTAAACCGACGCGTCGCACGACGACGGGGCGTCTTCCGGCGTTCTGACGGCTAGCGCGCGGCGACAGTTTTAATTACGCCGCCGTCAGTCCACACCGAGTCTAATAAACCGGACCGTCAATCTCAAACTCATTTGGGAGGTGTGACGCCGCGCCGCTGATGACATTAATCACTGACGCCGAGCTTAAATGGGAACACAACACCGCCGCGATGATGAAGTTAGCTCGAAACTAAGTCTGATGGCGCCGAGGCAAAGCAAAATCGTTGACGGGCCACTGATCAAAGACCTCGATGGCAAACTTTCATCCAGATCCAGAATTTCCTTTGGGGACCAAAATGAGATGCGACCCTGCTTGACCCTTTCGTGCACTAATAATGATAACCTGTAACCTGATAACGTGATAAACTATCCACTGTAGTAACCGCTGTGCCTGAAAAGGATATACAAACACACACCAAAAAAAAAAAAAAAACAAGTTGGATTATCCGTCTTTGAATCAAACTGCTGCCAAATGCGCAATCTGGATGCGATCCAGATGCTCCTTTGCCTTTAAACGCAGAAGAGTTTGACACATAAGTGCATCTTAACACATCTGATTGGATGTTCACCTGACTGCTCGGATTATGTTTGAGGTTTTTTTTTTCCCCCGAGAGAGAGTTTTTTTTTTTTTTTTCCCCTTGCCTCCGTGTTTGACACATAAGTGCATCTTAACACATCTGATTGGATGTTCACCTGACTGCTCGGATTATGTTTGAGTTTTTTTTCCCCGAGAGAGAGTTTTTTTTTGTTTTTTTTTCCCCCCCCCTTGCCTCCGTCTCCAAGCGCAACGTGGGAACGTGCGAGGCTCCTGACCTGCTCAATTTGTGAAGCGCCTTCAGATAGCTTCTGTTTGTGAAATGGATTCGAAATATACAGAAATTCACTGAAACTTAAAACCTTGAATCGGGTCAAAACAATCGTATCCGCTCGTTAATTTCTGATCGGCTAAAATCCTTTCCGAGTTTTGTCTCTCTTCAGAGGCAATGTTGGCGGTTCGGTGCATAATTGGCCGGTTTTTTGCAAATGCAAAGGAGAGCCCGGTGAATGTTGATCACCCTTTTTGTCTCATGTCGAACTTGTCAGCGTCAATCATTGGTTTGCCGCTCCCTTCATCCCCCCCCCCCACCTCCCATTATCTTCTTCTTCCACCCCGCAATCCATTATTCATTCCCGCGCGCTCGCGCATTTGCCGCTGACAGATTGACGAGCGCTTTC